AGATAGATCGCTTCTGTAATTATTCTCGATGTTGCTTAACGTGCCTTTCTGAACGTTCTTTTTGAAATTGAATTCTGGTACTCTGAATCTTTTTAGCTGAGAAACTTCAAGCTGACTATCTTTTTTTGGTGCTACGCTACAAACAGTGGGTTCTGGAAATCTCTTAAATTTCCCTCCTGAAGGGATTGCCTGTTTCCTGCGGTGTTCATCAAGCAAATCAAAGTCAGGAAAAATCTGGGGTAGTTTCGTAGATAGTGGGACGAGATAGCTGCGTTATCTGGATTCCGTAGTGTCAATGCTATGAATGTGATGAACAGTTGGGCAACTGGGTGTTCTATTTATAGATGTAAACGTGCAGGGAGCTAGTACAGGGGCAATCCTGCGTGCTTGCGTCTGTTTATTGGCCGTGAAAACGATTTGCAGATTCTTGTGCATGAGGGCGTGAGCCGATTAGCAAATAGTGGTGTTTAGAACGAATTTAATGGATAGTTCTGCGAAGAGAGAAGAAGAGGGGAAAGGGGAAGGGTTGTTGGGAGGGCTTCATAGTTTGAAAGTAATTTGTTAGAGATATAAAAAAAATTGTCATAGGTCTCCGACACTGTTGTGGAGCCATACAATGCTACCCTGTCCGTTCATCAGTTGGTTGAAAATACAGACGAGACTTTCTGTATTGACAATGAAGCTCTTTATGATATCTGCTTCCGCACCCTGAAACTCACGAACCCAACTTATGGAGATCTGAATCATCTTGGTAAGCGAATTAGTTGCTGACCTTTGTGGAATTTTCTAATTTTTATGGTTTCCAGTGTCTGTAACAATGTCTGGTGTCACTACATGTCTTCGCTTCCCTGGCCAATTGAATGCCGATCTACGTAAACTAGCTGTTAACATGGTTCCATTCCCTCGTCTTCACTTCTTCATGCCTGGATTTGCTCCCCTTTCCGCCAAAGGCGCTCAGGCTTACCGTGCTCTTACTGTAGCCGAACTTACCCAGCAGGTGCGTTTACTCGAAGGCAACGGCTCGGCAGAGTGACAAATTTGGAATATTCATCGTTCTCGGTTCCCCTGGA